CCAAAAAAAAAAAAAACATAAACGTCGTATGTGGGAAACTAAAATCTAGTTTTGAAAAAAAATATTTGACCACAAAGAAACGTATGAAAAATAATAAATATTTATATATATAATTGTTGGCAGATACATTAAATAAAATCTATTTAATAAAACCTTCATAATTTTCCCGCTAATTTTTTCAATGAATGTAGAAATGTGGTTACATTTTACATCAATAAAGTGTAATAACAATTTTAAACTATTTTATTATATAATATTACTACTAACACTAATTGATTATAATTTTACATTAAGTTACATATTTATAAAAAATTGTATTGCATTTTTTTTCTTTAAAATATTCTTTCTAAAATAAAATATTTTTTGTCTTTTAAGCGAATTTTATCTAATATTAGTTAATTGGCATGTCATAGTTAAACACCTTAAAATCATTTAGACAATTGCTATAACAATGATAAAAATAAATGTAATACTTTTCTAACTAATTAAATGTATAGTCCTCTAGATTATTGTCCATTAAAATTTATGGCATCAATATAAAAATGATTAGAAGCTTTGAAGTAAATGAATTAAGAAAAATGCAAAAAAATGGTCCATACTTTATAAAAAAGTAACAGAAATACAAAAAACAGAAAATGCCAAAATGTTGTGGTCCATTTTCTATATAATCAAAATTCAGAAGCTTTTTTAGAAGACTAAAAACGCCGTCTGTGGGACTCGAACCCACGACCACATGGTTAAAAGCCATGCGCTCTACCGACTGAGCTAAGACGGCTTCTTATACAAGGCGTAATCAATAATTTTACTACAAGACAAATTTACCAAATAACCTTCTCAAAAGTTTTTATATTGAAGTGACTTTTTTTTTTTAAAAAAAAATAGGCTTTTATTAAAAAAAAAAACATAATTACACCTAGAACTCAACCAAAAGTCGTATATAGTAGGAAGACATCCCATACGGTACACTACACCCACGATAATACATCCCAACAAAAGAATACAGATCACAACGGAATAATAAAATATTGAAATAACCTGCTCACCTATATGATGTAAAATGTGTACATTGTCCCCTTTTTTTTTTTTTGTTTCTCACCAAAATTGATAACCGGATGCTTTTTTTTAAATAAATCAATATCTCCGAGCTCGACGCGCCATGTAAAATGTTGGTCGAATTGACTCGTGGAAAAACAAGAATGCTCGAGCTCGACATGGCTTGAGTTCGGCAAAAAAATTTAACAACTAAATTTTAAATATAAAGATATTATTCTTAATCTAAATCGATAATTTTGGCCTGTGTGTTATAATATTGATCGTTAAACTATATAGGGTATTTATGTAAACAAAAATTCGAGCTACTCGTTGAGCTTACGAGCCTCTTGAAATGGTGCTCGAGCTTGACTCGTTTGCTCTATTGAACTGCTCAAGCTCGAGTTAGACCAAGCTCGAGTCACTCTGACCCGAGCGCTCGCGAGCAGCATGAGTTGCGACTCGTTTGCAACCATGTTAGTGATGAATTATATATATATATATATATATATATATATATATATATATATATATATATATATATAACTCCTTAAAATTGCATAAGTAATCATCATAAATAATATTAATGTTAACATTTTTATAATTAATTAAGTGGTAATGATCCTTTAAATTTATAAATAAAATAACATTATGCACTACATTTTATGCAAATTATATAACATTTCATGGAATATTAAAATGGTTTATTTTAAATATGATATCCATATATGTAACTTATAATATTATTTGATTTTTTTCGCATATGCACATAATCGAGTAATGGTATTGTATTATTTATAAGTAGGTCTAGATTATTCTTCATCATTTTCATTTACGGTTTGCTTGGTTGAACGATGATGGTAGTTGTAGGATTTAGCAAGATATGTTTGTTGGCCCGCTCTAATTTTTTTTTATTATTATTATTATTATTTTTTAGAATTATCTGTCAAGTTTGCGTAGTAAATCGTGATAGCTGTGGAGGTGACAAATAGTGTACGGACCAACAGGGGTTGGCTCAAGTGGTAAGCAGTTTGATGTCCCTTAAGTAATGTCTCGGGTTCGAGTCTTTGTGAATGCAGAAAACTCTTGTTGGGAGATTCACCCACCATTGCCAGGTGTGCGACCTGGGTCGACCAACGGATTAGTCGGGGAAACGCTCCGGATACCGTGACTGACTACAAAAAAAAAAAGAGAGAGACTCACTCACTATTACCAGGTGTGTGACCCGAATCGACCAACGGATTAGTCGTGGCAACGCTCCAGATACCGTGGCTGGCTACCAAAAAAAAATATTAATGTACGTTTCAATGTGTTCTTGGAACTTTATTGTATCATGCAACCTTCTCCAATTTTGACCCCCTTATTTTCCTCAAGTAATTCTTCTTCCTCTTGTGGATTATTAAATTTTAATGTGATGACATATATATACTAATCCGATCTTGTGCACATGCACATAGGTTTAAATTATTGTAAGTTATATGTATGTATATAATATTATAATTATGAGTTAAATAATTATAATATCACATTTTTAAAATTTTGTCATTAGTAGAAATGAACATTACAAAAGTATATATTGATCTTCATCACTATATTGATTACATAAAATGAAATGGATAAGTAGTTTTTGTAAATTTGAGAGATCTTGACCTATTATTATCTTAAAAAGTATTGAAACTATTATTATTTAAATTATTATTAATATTTATAAAATTTTAAGAGGTTTTGGTTATACCACAAAAGCCAATTAGTGTATTAAAAAAATGCATAATGATATGCACGATAAATAGTTTAGAAAAAAAATTAAAATATAATTTTTTATACTTATTGAACTTTCATATATTATTTAGTGTCGATTATAATTAGTTAGTTTTAATAAGAAAATATTATATAGTAGAATACTTAAAACATCATGATCACACTTTGCTTAGTAATTATGTTAAAAAATCATTGATTAGATTTGTTACGGATAATTTAGTAATAATATTTATTTTAAGAAGAATATTTTCTGTAGTTATCTTTAGTAACTAAATATTTGATTTGATATTATCCTTATCTCTTGTAATCTCTATATGTACCCTAAAAACTGGTTTTTACGAGCAGAATGAAAGCAACAGAAAAGAAGAGTTTCTTTCTTCATGTCTTCTCCTATTATTTTAGCATGGTATCAGAGAGGTAAAATTCGCCGCCGACGCCACACGTAATCTTATTTCACCATTATCGTTCTTTT